CATAGGGAGAAAAGACAACACAACCCTGGGTTCAGCCACTCAGCAAGGGTAGCAGTGCGGCCCAATGCAGCAAGAAGTCGGAGAGGCCCCCAACCATCCTCCCGCCTGCCTCTTTCTCTCCCCTCAGGAGCAGTTGTTGTTCTATTCCCTACCTCTCCCTGGTCTCCTTCTTTCCCTCTCCATTTCTCTAAGCTGCTTTCACCAGTTTCCCCCTTTGCGAAACCGCTTGGGCAATGAATTGGCTTTTTCATATTTAGTAGTAGGAGAAAGAAACCTCACCTTCATCTTCAGCTATTTGCAAAATGTGACTTTTGGCCTTTTGCAGAGGCCACGGTCCTCCCTTGCCTCAGAGCTCCTGTCTTCTACCTTTGGGGCAAGGTAATGGGGCAAACATGCCTCTTACGATATGTGTATGTGGCTGTGGTATCTTGGCTGAGAAACCATTCCGTGTTAGCACAGGCCTTGAGAAGCTTCTACCTTCTAGCTTGGATTATGGTATTTACCACTGATTTATATTAGCAGTAGAGCAAGCAACCTCTAGTCTAGATTATGCTGATGGCATATTAGATTTTGGAATGATATATCTACATTTTAGCAGTTTCCTATTAAAATCGAAATGTGATTTCCATATATTCTTACATTTAAAAATAAGGTAGCCAAATTGTATCTCTGAAGGACACTTTATGTTCTTTTCTTTGACATTTTGCAAATACGTAAAGTCATCTAAATGTCTTCTTTCTGATAAAAGAGTTAACTTCAGCTTCAGTAATGGTCCTTTAGTTCTGCATTAGCTCCCTCCTGTTGCATAATAAACAATATAAATTTAGTGGCTTAAAATAACACTCATTTATTAGCTTACAGTTCTGTAGATTAGAAGTCCAGCATGGAGGATAATGGAAATAAATAATGGAAATCATAGCTCGAGAAAGTATGTTCTCCCATTGCAAACTGATCCTAAACTTCAGACATTTTAAGTAAGATAAAAATCACTGGACGTCAAGTGCCCCCATTGTGTTATTTTATTTTGTTTTTTTAATACCAAACTAGTTTCACACCTTGGGCCCTAAATCACATATTTATCAAGCAAATAAGGCTAATGCCAATTACCAAAACTACGTGAGAATTAGATGAGTTAGATAAAATTTGACTTGAAATATACCATTGTACCTTCTTGATACCAGGCAGTGACTCTGGTTTGTCTTTCATTCAATGTGTTTTACAACCCATGTGTGGATCTTTCAGCTAGTCTGTTCTAAGTTCCCTCTCTGCATCTAGTCTAAAATAGTGGGACTTGTGGGGTGGTCCTGGGACCAGCCACTCAACCTCACTGAGAACTCATTAGAAATGCAAATTCTTCAACCCTACCAGCTGCTTCAGGAATCCAGGTATAATAATTTAACAATTTGTGGTTATCTGCCTTTCAGTTGATTCTGATGCACACTAAAGTTTCAAAACACCTGGTCTTGAACCACAGGCCATGTGTGCAGAGTCTTGCTCCTTCTAGAACAAATATCTTGTACAACGATAGCTTTTTAATATGTGTGAAGTTAATAATTAACCCCGGTTATGCATATGGAATATGGCACCTCCCCAAAATCAGCTCACAGTGTGAGCACTAACCATAGTGTTTGTGTATACAGACATTTACCAGCAGAACGAATGCTGTCAAACAACCGAGACTACTAAAATCAGTGGAATGTATGGGGCATGTGTACAGATGAACTGTGCCTGAAATTTGGTGGCAGCAGGTTACTTGCTCTAATATTTCGGGTTTTTTTAAGGTTATCTACACTGCTCTTGTCGGATTTGGTGGTGTAGCCACCTTCTAGCCACCAGTAGTTCCCAGAAACTACTGAAATTCCCTGTCCCTCCCAGCTCAGACAGCCATCAGTCTTTCACTTAGCTTTAATTAGGCTCTTAACCTATCCTGTTGCCCCAGGCCATTTCTGTTGGGTTTAATTGTTCAAGGAACTCCTTTAGGGTCAGAATTTTCAAAATCCCTCCTTTCCCCTTCACATGGGACTCAGATTGAACCTAGGATAGTCAAATCTGCTTCTTTTGAAAACCTACCCAAAGGTCATCTCATTCAATTACTCCAAGATTACCAGTCACTCACACCTACATGGGTCTCTAATTTCCTCTGCAGTGCATGGGCTGGCTTAACCACTGATGGAGCCTTTCATGATTCAGCATCTTTGCCAAAATCATTCTTGGGGATTGTAGCCAGGTTTTCTCTTTGCAAGATTGCAAGAGATGTGAACAGAACAGAGTGAAATAATTTTAAAACTCCATGACCTTCATTCAGTTAAGTGGGCTTGATTTATTTCATCTTCAGAGAAGAATCACTTGGGAAACATGTTAAAGAGCAAAAGGGCAAATGTACGAAAGTCTAACTTAAATTGAGATCTCTATCCACTGTGCCCAAGAAGAATGCCTGACCTGTCAGAATTAATTTAATTTCCTCAATAAAATTTCATGTTTTGGTAATTATTGTTTTGAGGCTTTTTGAAAGGACCATGAATTCAGAGACTCTAGTTTTCCATCTAGTACCATTTGTTGAAAAGACTTACTTTGTCTCCATCAATTGGCCCTTGCACCTTTGTCAAAGATAAGTGTTGATCTATTTCTGGATCACTATTCTGTCCCATCCATGTATTTGCTATTCTTTCACCAAAACTACACTGACTTGATTACTGTAGCTTTACAAAAAGCCTTGAAATTGGGTAGTATCAGTCTCTATGTTCTTCTTCTTCAGTGTTGTGTTTGCTGTTCTTGGTGTCTAATTTTTCCATCTGAACTTTTGAATCAGTTTGTGGATAATGACTGAATAGCCTGCTGATGTTGCATCAGATCTGTAGATAAAATTGGAAAGAACTCACATCTTGACAATATTGAATGTTACAATCTGTGAACAGGGAATATCTTTCCATTTGTTTAGAATCTTTATTTCTTTCTTCAATGTTTTGTCATTTCTCCGTATAGGTCCTGTGCCCATTCTCTTATAAATTTACCTAAGTATTTAATTTTGTCATGCTATTTTTCAATGCTAATTGTTTTAGTTGCAAATTTAAATTGTTCATTACTGGTATTTAGGAATACAATTGGCTTTTATACATTAATTTTTTATTCTGCAACCTTGATATACTTGCTTATTAGTTCCAGGAGGTTTTCGTTTGTTTCTGGTTTTGTTGTTGTCATTGTTGTTGTTTTAGTTTGTTTGGGGTTTATACATAGATAATTAAGTTATCTGAATATAAAGACAGTTTTATTTCTTCCTTTTTCTCTTCAATTTGTGTACATTGTGTTTATTTTACTTGTATTATTAAACTAGCTAGGACTTCTAGTATCATGTTAAATAAGGATGATCAGATGACACATGATTGCCTTGTTCTACATTCTAGTCTCTGACTATTAGGTATAGAGTTAGCTGTAGGTATTTTACATATATTCTTTTTCAAGTTGAGGAGGTTCACATTATTCTTAGTTTTCTAGGAGTTTTTATCATGATTGAATGTTGCATTTTGTCAAATGCTTTTTCTGTATCAATTTATATGAGCAAACCATTATTATTCTTTAGCCTTTTTGATGTGGTAGATTATATTGATTGATATTTGAATGTTGAACCGGTCTTGCATACATGGTAATAAATCCCACTTGATCATGGTGTTTAATTCATTATAGACATTGTTGGATTTAATTTGCTAACATTATGTTGAGAATTTTCACATCTATGCTCATGAAAGATATTAGGTTTCAGTTTTCCTTTTTATAGTGTCTTTATCTGGCTTTGATATTAGGATAATCTGTAAGAAATTGTGGAGAACTGTTATTGTTTCTTCCTTAAATGTTTGGTGGAATTCATATTTTAAAGTAGCTAAGCCTGATGTTCTCTATTTTTAAAGGTTATTCATTACTGATTCAATTTATTTAGTAGATAAAGGGCTATTCAGCTCATTTACTTCTTGTTTGAGTTTTAGTAGTTTATGCCTGCCAGGATATTGGTTCATGTTATCTAAAATATCAAATTCATTGGTATAGAGTTGTTCATAGTACTCTTTTATTATTGTTTTAATTCATAGTGTTACGGTAGAAATTACTTCTCTTTCATTTTTGAAATTGATCATTTGTGTCTGTCTTTTGACATTTGAGTGCCTAGAGGTTTATCAATTTAATTGAACTTTTCAAAACACAATTTTTTGTATCTTTGAGGTTTTTTATTATTTTCCTGTTCTAAGACCATGGATTTCTGCTCTATTTTTTATACCATTTTATTATTGCCATTTGTTTGGGGCTCAAATTATCCCCATTTTCTAGTTTTTGAATGTGGAAGCTTAGTTTATTGATTTTAGATTTTTCTTCTTTTGAAATATATGCATGGAATGCTATAGCTTCCCCTAATTACCACTTCCACTGCATCCCACAGATTTTAATAAATCATATTTTTTGTTTTCATTAATTCAAAATATTTTAAATATTCTCTTAAAACATCTTCTTTGACTTTAGGATTAGTTAGAAGTGTGTTATTTAATTTCCAACTATGTGGGAGATTAATTCAATTGTTGTTCTGTTATTGATTTTTACTTTAATTCTATTGTAGTCTGAGAACATACTCTGTATATTTCCCATTCCTTTAATTTTGTAATTGTGTGTTTTATGGCTCAGAATGTGATCTATCTCGCTGAATATTCCTTGTGAGCACAGAAAGTATGTACTTTCTGCCATTGCTGGGTGGAATATTCTATAAGTAGCATGATGCTAGAGCCCCTTGGAGTAGTGGCAAGGTGTAGGAGAGAAAAGTTGCTCCATGCTCATGTGATTAAATGTCAGCTTTAGCCAGCCTGTCTCTTGGGCTGTGACCTTCACAAACATTTCTCTACTGGGTTAGCTTCCCCTTACCTTCCTTGTGCTCCCTGCCCTGATTGCAGTGTTCTCAACCTATTTTTATTTTAATTTTTGAAGCCCTAACTCCTGTAGACTATATTTTTCTTCCCCTTAGGAAAGGCAGAGGTTTCAGGAGGCTGGAATGCAATGAATGTCCTTCCCCCGCTTGAAATACACCTCTGGCAAATTCTTTTCCTCGGGAGAGTAAGTAGTATTTGGATTTGGCTTTCAGATATGCGCCACATAGTAATGTTGTAACAAAAATACAAAGGGCTGTTGCCCCAGCTCTCCACAAATTTTTGGGGTGAGAGCAGTGCATCTGTGGAGAACACCACAGACTCTTACACGAAGGGGGAGGAGCATTCTCTTCCCTCTCTGGTAGCTCACAGGATAGTCCTGATGCTCAAAGGGCTCCAGAACATGGCTATACTCTGGCTATCTGCCTGAGCAGCCAGGGAGCCCACAGTGCAGGTGGTCTGTTACGTCACCTCACAGAGCTGTATTTGTTCTTGAGCCTTTCTGTCAATTCACCTAAAATGCAGTAAAGGAGATATTTATAAGAGCCTGGAGGCTTTTATTTAACAAATGAGATAAGAAGCTAGAAACCAATTATGGCTGGTGAGAGCTAGGATAGCTGGGGTTAAACATGATTAAAATGACCAAAATAATCTAGTGCTTAGCATTTGTTGGTTCAGCCAGCTGAAGTTGGTGATGTCTAAATTCAGTTCAACAACAGAGCTGTTTTAGACCACCTTCTTTTGGGAATAATCTCTTCTTCTTGGAGATTAAATTGAAAAGACATACTTATTTATGCCAAAATCCAGAAACCAAGGTTCTTGTTGGGCATCACCTAAATCTCCCAAGCGTGGTAGATTAATCATTTTCTGCCCAATAATGTCAGAGTAGTGTAATCATTGATTAATTAAAAATGGAAGGTACCAAACAAAGGTGATCGTTTCTTTGATTATGTTCCAAACCATGCTACAGAGAAGCAGGAGAGGTGAGATGATGAGCTTTGATTTAGGTAGCAGCTTTGCACTGCGTACGTAGCTGTCTTACCCTGGAAGGACTAACATCGATAGTTAAACCTAGCTATTACTGGATGGGTCTGTGATTGGAGAGCACTTTGAATAACCTCCTTTCTCTTCCTTCCAAAGGAGAAAACTGACTCAAATTCAGTCTCTGGAGGTGTGAGAATAAGGCTGGAAACAGACCTAAGCAGAATCGTGGTGCCGGTGATGTCTGCCGTTGGTGCCTGAGCAGATCCATCCTGTGTAAGTATTTAGATCTTTTTGGTAAATGAGTAACCACCAATGGTGAGAGATTAGTGAGGTCTACAGTCCTTCTACACAACCTTGACATTGGGTGTGAAAGCAGGTCACAAACTGAGTTGTGCTGTATGTAGAAATAGGTACTCGATGAACATTTAATTTAGTAAGCAGATCCAGCGTAGTCATACACCCTGTTCTGTAAGCTCTGTAAATGCTCAGCTCTCTGTCCTTTTAGATCCCCCTCCACAGTGCATATGAAGGCTTTTCTTAGGGGCAGACAAGACACTGTTCTAGAGTCTGATCCAGTTATACACATAGTCAGCTCCAAGCAGTTAGTCCTCCAGCTCACGGGTAAACACAGCATAGTTTCAGAGTTAGGCTCTGGCGACTTTCTGAAGGGTGTAGTATGAAATACAGGATTCTCGCACCCTGTTCTGATAAGGATAGGTCTCATGTCTGTATATCGAGCAATATCATGCACTGCAACACTACTAATTTAGCCAAACAAAAAACATCCAATCTTCTCAATATTGATTACTGAAATATATCTGCTTTTCATTGGAGAGAAAAGTGGCCAGAGTGCTTGTGGTTGATACCTCTGGCATTTAATCCTGTGATCAAATGTTAATTGACTATATGGATTATGCATTCACGATAAGAGCAACTGACCAGCACTTGCATGAGGACAGATGTAACATGCTTGTCTCACTTTTAAAATATAATTTATTTTTATTAATTCAATCTTTTAAACATTATAAATGAAAATTAAAAATATTCAACCATAAACACTCAGTCCAACTAAAGAAATTATCTTCATTATTTTATCTTCCTTCCAAACTTGATTACTATAAATATGCATGATTTGGATATTGTTTAATCATAGGCCACACTTAGCCTAGGACTCTAATTTTTCTAGATATACCTCTGCCTCCTTTACCTGTGGTTTCTCTTTCTCCATTTTTAGGATCTCTTTTGTTCCCAATGTGCTTCTTACCTTTATATTCTATCTTTTAGAGCAGTCCACTTTGTGGATAACATTAGTCATATACTAAGAACTCAGGAAGTCTTCTGCCCCAGATATATGCAGAGTTTAAAGAGGCCCATAGAAAAGCTCAATGAATAATCACTGGTGGCATCTAATCTGTGGGGAGAGGAGGGGCACACACACATGCATGGGGGTTGACTATCACTTATGGGAAACTATATCCATAAAAATTCTGTCTGCTGGTTATACAGACAAAAAATAGCAATGACTTATTTTTTTCTCATATAAAGAACATATGGAGGTAGAAAGACCAGAACTGTTTTGCTATCTTTTGCACCAGGGAACCAATCTCCTCTCATCTTTTTGTTTTGACATTCTAGGCCAGAGGCTGATATTCTAAAGTCTGCCCCAGGATCCAAGATGGCTGTTGGAGTTCTAACCATCTCACATATGTTCCAGGCAAAGAGGAAGTAGGACATGAACAGAAACTTTTCAAAAGAAGACAAAATAATGGCCAAAAAACACATGAAAAAAAGCTCAACATCTCTAATCATCAGAGAAATGCAAATCAAAACTGCAATGAGATATCACTTATCTCCAGTCAGTAAGAATGGCCTTTATTAACAAGTCCCCAAACAATTAAATGTTGACATGGATGCAGAGAGATAGGAACATTCCTACACTGCTGGTGGGACTGAAAACTAGTTCAACCTTTGTGGAAAGCAATATGGAGATACCTTAAAGGATACAAGTAGAGCTACCATTTGATCCAGCAATCCCACTACTGGGCATCTACCCAAAAGAACAAATGACACTCTACAAAAAAGACACCTGCACTTGAATGTTTATAGAAGCACAATTCACAATTGCAGAGTTGTGAAAACAACCCAAGTGCCCATCAATATATGAGTGGATTAATAAAATGTGGTATATGTATACCATGGAGTACTATTCAGCTCTAAGAAACAACGGTGATATGGCACCTCTTGTATTTTCCTGGATAGAGCTGGAACCCATTCTACTAAGTGAAGTATCACAAAGAATGGAAAAACAAGTACCACATGTACTCACCAGCAAATTGGTATTAACTGATCAACACTTAAGTGGACATATAGGAATAGCATTTACTGGGTATTGGGCAGGTGGGAGGGGGAGGGGATGGGTATATACACACATAATGAGTGAGATGTGCACCATCTGGGGATTGGTCCCACTTGAAGCTTTGACTCGAGGGGGGAGTGGGGACAAAAGCAATATATGTAACCTTAACATTTGTACCCACATAATATGCTGAAATATAAAAGAAAAAGAAAAAACATCCTTTAAGTAGATACCTGTTCCCACATTTAGCATATTTTCATGCCTTACCAATATAAATCACTGGCTAGAAATTAATTTCAAGAAAGGCTAGGTATTTTGCAATGTTTTAGCTTAGGCATATCACTGCCTCTAACAAATTTAGAGTCCCCTTATCATGGAAGAAATGCAGAAAGATACCGGATAGGCAGCTTGTTGTTTCTGGCCTTCCCAGAATGCTTCAGGTCAACTGGGGTCAACTGAGCTGGCCTTGTCTGTATGTGTTTCATCTTGCCTGAAGTCACTTCCAGGTTTAGAATGGCCAGGGAAGCTCTTCTGTCTTTGTGACCCCTTTGGGGGGTTTATATATCCTTTTTCATTCTGTCCACAAATAATCACTAAACTTGGAACTGCATCCTGGGAATTCTCAGCTCTTGGTGTTGTCTCTGGCTGCTCTGTTCCAGGGCCGGCCTATTCCCTTCTGGTTTGGATTTTCATCCCCACAGATGAAGCAGGATGTGTTTTGAGCCTGGAAAATTACCTGAACTAAAAGCACTTTGAATGGCAAGTCTGGCAAACAAGCCCGTGTTGAAGGAGTGCTTCTCACTCTGTAAGATAACAATAATGTGTACGGCAGGGGTGCTGTGCTGAGGTGTAATGATGATGGAATTCTCAGAGCAGTGGCCCAGAGACAGGTAGATCTAAATTTCTAAAAGCCACCTGTCAAGCTGTGATTAAAATTACTAGCTGCCATTTGCAGACACAGAAATCAATACTAATGACGCTAAGGCTTGCCTTCCAGGGAGGAAACAAGCAGCTCCTGCCCCTGCGGAGTACGTCTTCGCAGAGGAGCAAGTTCAGCTGCAGGGGTGAGTGAGGCTGCTGCCTTCCCTTGCATGTTTATGTCCCCACAGGTGTTGGTGCAACTGGAACTGAGGTCAAACAGTCTGGAAACCTCTGAATAATGGGAGGAGAATGGGAAAAATATTTAGAACTGTATATAGATTGTAATTGTAATATTTATTTACATTCATTCTCATTTGTAGCAGAAAACTATATATCTCTGCTAGATAGAGTAATTGAAAACTTCCAAACAACACTGTCATAGTATTCTCTTCAGGAAAAAAAAGATTTGAATAAGTAAAGCTTTTTGCTCTTCGTGAAGAAGACACAAATATGAGGGAGCAGGCGTATGTTAGCACATTCTTGGGGTCCTGAGAGGGAGGCAACCCATTATACATTTAAGCACAAAGACCCAGATGGGTTCAGGTGTGACACATTCAATGTGTTTAGGTGTTTCAAACTTAAAATCTCTATTTTTATGTTTTAGTATTTGAAGTGTTTCATTTCTGTCTCCAAAAGTTACCCATAAGTTCTCAGAGAGCAGCAATCATATGAACCTGTCTTTGTTTCTCAAGATGAGTATTCATAGGGCTCAAATCTACTAAAGCTGCTGCTCAACTATCCCCACTTTCAGGCTGCATAGAAATGGTAAACTTTACCTTTTATGTTCACAGGACACCAACACCATCTCATCTTCCTTTGGCTTCTCTGCATTGCACGGGGCCGTGGGGCACTCGGGAAGTGTCCTCTGCACCTTCCCCAGGTCTTCACCCCGCGTCAGTGTGTAACATGCATGTGCTACGCTGCCAACACCCTCGGCCTCGCTGCCTCCCGGACCTGGAGCCTGACCTGTGCTTCTGCCTGAGTGGAAGCCTTATCTTTGCCCTGGGTTCTTTACACGGGACCAGCTGACGGGGCTGGATTGGTTTTCATTTCCGTACCACCTCTTGCAAACAGCACTGGAGTGACACCAGGAACACTTTCAAATCAGTGCCTGTGACAATTGAGAGGTGAGGCTTTCTATTAATATTTTCTGAAAGTTTGATTGAGGTGGCAGTAAAAATTTTCAGGGCCACTGCTATCGGATAAAAAATAATCAATTCCTTTGGTCTGAGTTCTTCCCTCTCTGCAGTTTCAAGGTGGGAGGGGACCCCTCTGCCTGCTCATTTGGGAAGTCTGTACTCTTTGGGCTCTTGGCCCTGGTTCTCTCTCTCTCTCCCACACACACACACACCCTAGTATTTCTTCCATTACTTATCTTTCAATTCCACTGAGCCTAGATATATTTCATAATGATCTTGATAAATAATTCATGCTAATGTGCTAATGGTATATACATTTTAAATAGGAGGCCCCCTGGAGCAAAGCTCTGCTTTTATAATCTACCTATTGAATGATTTGATATTGATGGGAAAAACAGAATTTAATCTTATATCTATTCCACCTCATGACCTACCTTTCCTGGTCAGTTGACTAACCAATAGGAAGGGAGATTTAGCTATAGAAAATTCTTTCATGAAAAATAATCATTTGCTCCATGCCTGTGTCCACCTTCCAAGGGAGCCAGGCTTCCAAAACGTTTTCCCTGATCAAAATTGTATCGATCTTAGACAGCACAACATTGCGTGTGAAGCACACAGCTACTTATCCTTGTAGAAGGTCAGTGGCCCCGGAACCCCTTTCTCATCTCCGCATGAGTCCGGCAAAGTGCCTGACGCACCAGTCCATGGCCAATGAATATTATCCAATGACTGACTAAACTACAAACAACAAGAAACCAACAAAATCTGAAAGGACACCAGACGCAAGCAGAAACATAGAAAATAAACAGTCCATATATATCATACCCACGATTTTAAACTTCACAAAACAGAAGCATGTCATCATTTTTCACAGGATTTGGGAGACGGCAATTTCATTCCTGTTCCCTCTCCTTATCTCAAAACCAGCACAGACTTCAACCTAGGAGAATAAAAACATTTTAGTACACAATGTAAACGCCTACTCGGAAATCGCTGGTACTAATTTAGCAACATATAGCAACAATAGCAATCCTTTTGTGGGTAAAACAAACATTCATTGAACAAATGCTTGGCACCTACCTACTGTGTGCCAGGCACTGCCTCAGGCACGGAATATAGCCGTAAGCCAAACAGAAAAAGTCCACATCCTTCTGCGCCTACAGATGGATGTATATGGGAACCTGCACTGTTGTTTACTGAACACTGTTCAGGCGATGGGCACCCCAAGCATTACAAAAGCTATCCATATACTAAAAACATTTGTAGCCCGTCAATATTTTGAAATTAAAAAAAAAAATCCCTGCAATCTGCAACATGTAAAACGGCAGCAAGTCTCAAAGGAAAAACAGCAGAGAGTGTGAGTGTGGTCGAGGAATATTCTGACGGGCAAGAGATGGGAGGGGGCCTGGGGCCAACTGAGGAAAGAGCACATCAGACACAGAGAGCAGCCAGGGCCGGGCACGGTGGCTCACGCCTGTAATCCTAGCACTCTGGATGGCCGAGGCGGGCGGATTGCTCAAGGTCAGGAGTCTGAAACCAGCCTGAGCAAGAGCAAGACCCCGTCTCAACCATAAATAGAAAAATATTAATTGGCCAACTAATATATATATAGAAAAAATTAGCCAGGCATGGTGGCGCATGCCTGTAGTCCCAGTTACTTGGGAGGCTGAGGCAGCAGGATTGCTTAAGCCCAGGAGTTTGAGGTTGCCATGAGCTAGGCTGACGCCACGGCACTCACTCTAGCCTGGACAACAAAGTGAGACCCTGTCTCAAAAAAAAGAGAGAGAGAGAGAGAGAGCAGCCAGGCTAGAATCTCATGCCAGGAGAGTGCCAGGAAAGGTGGAGGAAGCCAGTGGAAACATCAAAAGAGAGAGAAATAGGAGGCTGAGGGACCCTGATGGGACAGGGCCATAGAGGCCACTTGAAGAACATTATTTGTTCCCTGAAAGAGAGGAAAACCAATGAAGAGGCTTGATAAGAGGAGGGTCATTTTCTTAAATTTAACAGATTTTTCCTTTTTGGGGGAACAGATTGCAGGAAGACAAGCTAACGTGGAGGCGGCAACAATCCCGAAAACACTATTGCAGTACTCCAGCCAATAGGTGCCGGTGCAGTGAACCAGAGTGGTTGCCATGGAGACGACGAGAAGAGGTCAGATGCTGGCTATCTTTGGAAGGCAGTGCAGACAGGGTTGGACGACAGACTGGATATAGGGTCTAAGAAAAATAGTGTGTGGAATGACCCTTTGGTCTTCGATGTTTGGCTTAAGCAAATGGAAGGCGGCTGTCATTTTTTGAGATGAGGAGACACACAGTTGCCTATTTGAAGGATCAAGAAGGGCTGGAGTTTTGCAAAATACTGCTTT